CCAGATAGATACAGGAGTGTTGTCAATGCCTGTCAACCAATGTTCTCAAATACAGCTTCAGCTGGAAGCAGGTTGACGAACTCAGTAGAGTGAGGCAGGTCCTAGTTAATAACGGATACGCTAACAAATACGTTAAAGAGATCATTAAAAGAAAGGCGAGCTGCCATGCTACTTTTGATGAAACAGCCAATAGTACATTACTGGTCCCTCCTATTAAAATATTCTAAAGGAAATTCTTCTCCATGGTCCACAAAATGGTAGTCCTGAAAGATATTACTGATAGAAACCCACCCCTACTGACACCAACCAGAAGATCAAAATAATAATATACTATGAAAGTAAAAAGACTGCCAACTTACTCATGAAAAATTCTTCTGATATACAAAATGATTTGTGAGAGACAAATGTCATCTATGGCTTCACATACCCACATGGAGCGTGTGCTGATGAGCACTGCTTATCTCAGCATACTATAGAGGCAAAATGATATTTCTTTTGAGGTACCTGACAATGCACAAATACCAAAGGCCCTACCAAGGAACATGCAGTCTCTATACACAACCAGATCATCACCAAAGGATATTCTAACAAACAACACTAAAATATTCAATAGATACCACGACAATACAAGATAGAACATTGGCGAGGAATTACAAATTAAACAAACCCATCCAACTCTCAAATAGCCAGCCAACACTAAGTTACACACTGCCATATTTGAGAATGAGGAAGAACATTAAAAGTACAGCCACAGACATCATTGAATCATATGTGACTGAAAGCTGCAGTGAGCATTTTGGTCAATAGAGGGGGCAATTAACCTCATCCCTAGTTACATTCAGCCGCTCTAAAATCGTAACCACTGGCACTATGACTTTGATAATGCCGAAAAGGGTGAATTAAAAGCGTCCCTTGGTGTCAGGCCATAATAAAACTGTAAAATGAACTTTAGACAGTTAATTTTACTGCTTCCTTCTCAAGTTAAGAAAAAGATAGGACTCATCCTGTCATTCAATAATGTATGTATGTATGTATGTATGTGTATGTATGTGTGTACAGTCAGCCACGAGCTTTACGAATGCCTGTTATCCAACTGGGGTTTGTTCGAATAAAAAAGTTAGGATAACTGGTGGGGTGGAATGTTCAAGATGGAACAAGTTTGCCCAGTAACCGTACACAGTGCCACTTGAGCAGTGTTCATACATTAATGGATGGCTCAGAAGCTCTCAACTCTGCCATGGCATTAGGTACATTAGAGTACAAGGTGAAAAGCAGTCTGCTGAGGTTACCTCATCACCACCTCCACTTCAGTCAACCCAACACTATTATCATCCACTACCACCTTTTCTATCTAAATACCTTCAAGATTCAAGATTCAAATACCTTCATTGATGAAGCATTGCTAACAAGTAGATCAGAACATATATTGGCGTGTACAAACAAAAAAATGGTGAATTTCTGCAACAAAATTGTCAGCTTTTCAGGATGACTAACCACTTATTTGAACACATGTTATCCATTCAGTCTCAGTCCCAAGGGACTTAGATAGCACGTGGCTGACTGTAATTACCTGAGTGTTGTTACAGGATGAGAGCTATGCTTGTGGTGTCCCATCTTCCCAGCACTCTCTGCCATATAATGCTTTGAAACTACTGACTGCTTTTCTCTTCACCTCTAACTTAACTTGTTCCAACTGTCTACCACTTTGTTTGCAAAAGAAAATTTCTAATATTCTTTTTGGCACCGTTGTTTCCTTAGCTTGAATCTGTGTCCTCTTCTTGGTGATGTTGCTGGTTTCAGAAATTCCTCTTTGTAAATTTGGTCGATTCCTGTTATTATTTTATAAGTGGCGATCATATCACCTCTTTCTTCTGTCTTCTAGTTTTGACATACTTAATTCCTCTAGTAACTCTTGTTTTCAGTTTCAAAAGCACTTTTCGAGCATGCCTTTGCACCTTTTCCAGTTTATTTGTGGTTCTTGAAATGTAGGAACCATACAACTGCTGCACATCAAAATTTTGGTCTCACAAAAGTCATGAACAATCTCTGTAGTATTTCACCATCTATGTAATTAAAAGCAAGTCTGAAGTTGGAACATGATACATATGTTCCTCTCATAATGTTCTTTGTGTGTTCCTCTGGCAACAGCTTACTATCCAAAACCCACCCCCTAGGTCTTGTTCTTTATTAGAGTTCTGTAATTCCTTTTCACATAATTTATAAGTTGTGTGGGGTCTATTTTCACCGATTCAACATTCAATAGCAAAACATTTATTCACATTGAATTCCATTTGCCACATGTCACTCCAAGCATTTATTTTATCTAGATCAATTTAAAGTGCATGATAATCATCATCATCATTATCTTCCCAAGTATCTTAGTATGATCCACAAACATGTCCATATAATTCTGTATTCCTTCTGGTAGATTGTTTATGTAGACGATGAACATCACTGATGCAAGACCTGAACCTCGTGGTAGTCCACTAATAACACTCCTCCAGTCAGATACATTGTCTCTGATTACTGCCCTCATCTTTCTGTTAGTCAGAAAATTTTTCATTCATGTCAGAAGTCTCTGTCACCCCTCCAGCATGTTCCAGTTTCCAATACAACCTCTTGCATGGGACTCTGTCAAAAGCCTTTTTTTAAGGTCCAGATAGACACAGTCAACCCAACCATCTCTTTCCTGTAAAATCTCTGTTGCTCTATCATAAAAACTATGTAGATTTGTTACACAGGATCTTCCTGTCTGAAAACCATATTGTCTGTCCGTTATTATGTCACTACCCTCCAGGTATTCTACCCATTTGGTTTTAACTATTTTTTCTAGTATTTTGACTACCAAGTGTGTTAATGATGCAGATTTATAATTTAGAAGGTCTTCTTGGCAACCATACCATTTTTGTAGATTGGAACTATGTTTGGCTTTTTCAATATACAGTATCTGCTAAGATTCCTGTGAACAAAGTTGTCTGGAATATCAATTGGATTGGGATGCTCAGCTCAGTTGCACACTCTTACCACCCAAGGGAAAACTTCATCTGGTCCAACAGCTCTATCTCTTTCTAGCCCTTTCAATAAACTTTTAATTTTGGCTTGAAACAACTATAGTGTTTTCTGGCATTACGCATAGAGTCCAGCTCTCTGTAATCCTCATTTTTCACATACACACTTTGGAACTATTCATTTATTGTTTCAAATATTTCTTTTTCCTTCTCAGTGAGCCTGTTCCCCAATTCTCAATCTCTGGATTTTATTCTTTACATGCAACCAAAAATTTTAAATGAAGATGGTATTCCCAAAGTGCTATGCTATCTTGGAGATATGGTGCTCAAATCTCAAGCAACACCTCAACAAATTGGAAAAGGTGCAAAGACATGCAACAAAATGGCTTCCAAAACTGAAAGATAAGAGCTACGAGGAGAGGTGTTAAATATGTAATAGCTAGTAGAAGAAGAAGAAGAAAAAAAAAAAAAGAGGCGATATGATCACTACAAACAAAATAGGAACGGGAATCAACAAAATTGACAAAGAAGAATTACTGAAGTCTGGAACTTCTAGAACCGCTATGGTCATAGAGTTAAGCTATGAAAACAAAGCTGACAAAATCATATGAAAGTTCACTTTTGCAAACTGAGTGGTAGACAGTTGCATCAAATTGAGTAGGTGGTGGATGCCACAACCTTCAGAAGTTTCAAAGCATCATATGACAGATTGTTGGGAAGGGACACCACGAGCATAGCTCTCATCCTGTAACTACACTTGGGTAATTACAAAATTGTCTGTAATGTCTAATCTGCTTTTTGGGTGCTTTCTTGTGAGGATGATCATAACAATACCCTACTCCATGTGGAGAGGAAGGGGCCCAGATTGTGGCTCGACTCTGGTAGGCCAACATGGCACTTACGACTGATGTGACTAAGTACTGGGAAGCCATATCAGTGACATAGCTTCAGAGAGCCAATAAGGGCCTCCCTAGAAATGTTGCATCTCACACAAGGTATTTTTTTAATCTAGTCAAGAAACATAACAAAAAACTATGATGCAACAAAACTGCCAGTATTCAAAACATTCTGGGCTTGCTCCTTCTGTCACACATTGTCTTTTCTGTTTCACTTTATGTATTTTTCCCCCAGCCCATGAAAGTGGGAAATGGGGTAATGATGATAAACAATGACAATAATCTGATAACACCAATATCAGAGATCAGCTGCCACGGTGACCATCAGGGATCTACACACTATACAAGCAACTGTGTACAATTTTTATCCCAATACATACCATCCAACCTCTGTGTTTGAAATGAATATCAGTTAAAACATAAGAATTATCATTTGGAAACAGTAAAAGGAAAATAAAATATAATAAAAATAAAGATCTGACAACCAAAAATGTATGTTACAATTGGGGAACCTAGCAAAATTAATGCATCATATGATAATAACAATAAATATTAGAATATAATTAATAAGGAAATAAATACATAAATATGACTACAGTTTCTCAGTAACCTACATATCTGTTGTTAGAAATAAATAAAGTTTACTCCAGCATTAAGCAGATTAAAGACTTGAGCCATCAACCTGAACCAAAATGTGGCAAATACTCATCAATATTCTATTGTCATTATTCATACTCAGAGGTGAACTGCAATGACCTAAATGAGTAAGCTTTGCTCTCTAATTGTTTTCAAATAAATCGTTCACAAGATATGAAAACATGCACTATTCTAGCATTAAATACTGTACTGCAAATACTGTCTAAAAACAAATCAATAATAATACAAAAAACATTTTCATTTCATATAAAGCTTAAGCAATCTTACAGGAATACATTTGACTAGCCTTTTCACTGCTTATAAAGCCAAAATGTGTTCATTTCATTTACACTGTGATGGCACCACTACTATTCAAAATTCAATGCAAAGAATTATACGGCCATTTTCTCAGTGCAATTATAGGTAGTAAATATACTTTTTATACTTGTGGACAACTTACTTGGTTTTAACTTCACTATCAGGGTCGTTCTCCATCCAAGATTCTGCTACATCATGATTATCCAGCGATATCTCTCCTTCCTGTAGAGATGTTTAGTATACATATTTATCCTATTAAAGATGCAAAGTAAAACAAGGACAATCACTTAAAATGAACTCAGAAATGTGAGCTGCTTCAATACACTGAGTCATAAAAAACAGGTTACACATTTTTTTCTGGAGAGGAGAAATAGTGACTCCTTGTGGTTAGCTTGTTGAAATAGCTCCACTGCATGGCTCTGGGGTGTATGGGGAGAGGTGACCGGGGTGCAGGAGGAGAGGTGACCGGGGTGCAGGAGGAGAGGTGACCGGGATGCATGGGGAGAGGTGACCGGGGTGCATCGGGAGAGGTGACCGGGGTGCATGGGGAGAGGTGACCGGGGTGCTTGGGAGAGGTGACAGAGTGGTTAAGTTTATGAAAGAGGTATCTTGTTGATCTAATATGGCAAATATTTATAACCCGTGAAGGAAGGACACAATTTAAGTTTAAGTGTATTAAAAAACTAAATTTTGGATGTAACCTACATCCTCTCTCAAGGTACTATAAATATAATGTTTACTGTATACAGGCTCAAGTAATGTATACACTGTGTACAATACCTTGAGAAAGGATATAAGTTACATCAAAAAATTTGGTTTTCATACAAAAACATAAATTGGCTCATGCCTTCCCCTTCATTCAAGCACTACAGCATTGTCGTAGGACTCTCCAAATATTTATTGCTATTAGGGGATATAACCTACATAGTAATTGTAATAACTGATCATGAGAATATATTTAATTATGCTGCCCAATAAGGTATTATGAGAAAATCTATAGTCATTGAATCTCCTATAATGAAATCTATCTAACATGGAAAACTTGAATTCAAGTGCCTCAGTACAATAATAATATTCAAATTAAACATTCATTCATTTCTTCTTAACTTTGCAACAACTCTTTACCTCCATAGCCGAGTCCCACGGCTGACCTGCAGCCGGGTACCGGGCGGGTGGTGGTTCAGCATTCAACTCTGTGACTAGTGGAGGCTCAAAGTTCACCGATTCCACTGAAAAGAATTATGGTGGTGATAAGCGAGAATTGTTAAAATAAGTTAGGAATACAAACTATTATTTTAGCAAGCAAAGAACATTTCACATACTGTATTAGGTAATTACACAAAAGCTAGTTTGTCGAGAACTGCTCATCTTGGAAAGTTACATATAGAATCTCCCCAGACATGTTAAATGATGCCTTCAATGGAAAAAAAACAGCATTGACTGTAATGAAACACCAATTTCTGGGTGCCCCAGTGGCTGCTGAAGCTACTATTTCTAATAGAGCCATACTACTAGGTGCCATCAGTCGTTGGGTTCTAATGGCATAACAGGGACCATGAGCCATAACCTGCCCCACCCCCCTCAAGGAGGCACAGGGAGCTGTGGCACTTAACCCTTAAACTGCACAATACAGATATAGCTGGGGTGAGTAACTATCACAGAACTGCGCACCACAACTATGTATGGTTGGAAGTACCACGTAAGATTTAAAGGTCCTGCAGCTACACAGGGTTCACATCACCTTCCTCAGGGCTCTTGTGAGGTCATGCCTGTCCAACAGTTCAGCTTTCAGTAGCAATTTTTTAACCAGATACAGTTTGTTTTGGGGCGCCTACCTTTCTGGGTGCCTGACCAGGTCGATGGCAGACATAGAATGCTTCCATCAATACGGGGGTTTCTATAGGCCATTGCTCCTCGTGCCTCTCTCAGGGGCCCAGGTTCTGGCTTGTGGTCCCTGGTAGGCTGAACTCCAATTGACTGATGCCCCAGACTAATATAACACATATCAGCCTGATAGCTCCAGGGAGCTGTAGGGGCTCCCCTCAGAAACACCACATAGTGAAAAATGACCCCAGAGCCAGAGTGACAGAGATAGCAACCAAGCACTCACTACCATCAGATTAGAACTGAGGGTGGAGCAGCCAACTGACCCAGGACTGCCTCCCTCTTCCCCATCCAAATGACAGGGAGAGGTGGGGGTGTATGAGCGTGTGTTATTTTCATGAATTTTAGATCTTTTGTTTACGTTGTTGTGGGATTTTGAGGTATCCATACTTCATGTAACCAGCAGTGGTGTGAGTTTTATTTTGATGACTTTGCGGGTGCTTTCCTTGTGGTGGTGATTAAAATTCACTGACAATTTTTATCACAGTGTCACTGCTCTATGCCCCTCATTAGAGAGGGGCCAGGTTCTGGTTCATAGTTCCAAGTATGCCAAAAAGAACTCTGGCTGATGGCACCTAGTATTTTGACACAGTGTCAGCATTGTAACTTCAGAAAGTAACAAAGGGACTTCCCCCCCCCACCCACCCAGAAAAAATAATCCTTCCAAGAGAAATGATTACCAACAAATTTAAGATGAAGTTAGCTTACTGTGTAGTTCAGACTTGGTTCTTTGTTTTGGTCGTGTCGGTGTTCTGGAGGTTATTCTCTGAGGAACATTAGTAACAGCTCCATCTTCATCCATCTAAAAAAAGAAAAGTATTTATTTGTTAAAATTTAATATTCATAAAAAAACTACATACAATATTCATAAATTTTTATGAATTCAATATCATTAAGATAATAGTGATGAATAAATATTTTTTAAATAAATAAGATTTTGAATTATTATAAATTTGGATCAATGTGAAATGTGACTTTCTGTGCAGAATCCCTTAGACACAGAATGCCATTCTATGTCTAAGGGATTCTACAATGTGTCTACAATGAATGACATTGTAGACACAATGTTAAGATAACATTGTGTCTACAAGACAGGATCATGAATGTCCCAGCAGGAAAACATATCTATACTGGTGCAACACAGAACTTTTCAAACAGTCCCTGCCAAGACTACTATGGCTATGGCAGACCTGGTCAGTGACTAGGCCATGGAGACACTGATCCCCAAAATCATCAACAGGTAGGTAGGTAGTACCTGCATAATACCACACAAACTTATCACATTGTTTACTTTTAGCTCCAATGCTTTATTTCAGTCTTCTTATCCACAGATGTCTTTGCACAAGCCATTTATCCTCCATCTTATCCTCACTTGTGCACATTTCCCTCTCATCACTCACACACCTCACTCATGTAAAATTGAACAATCACTTCCTGAACTTCTCTAGTCAACTTAATTTTACACACAGTTGCCCACCTTTGTCTCTCATTATTTAATTTCATACTCATTCATTTAAAAAATTAAAGACCTATCCAATGACTTCTAACAATTTATGACTAAAGTTTTATGCAGATACAACTTTCATCTTTTCTAACAATACATATTACATGACAAAATGCTACATGACCCAAGGTCCCAGCTTTTTGCCAAAACTAACATGTCTACCAATACATAACAAACAATATACTGAAAAGTTTAATGAATAGTAATGGAGATTAAGAAGAATGTTTAAGATTGCAGAACAACTACAGAAACACTCACCTCTAACTCAGGTGGGAATGAGTGTTGAGGATTATGAGCCTTTTGCAACAGCTCCACTGCCAGCCACTTTGGCAGATCTGCTGCCACAAAAGGATGCAGAAGTAACTTATCAGCTGTTGGTCTTCTCTTGGGATTTTTTGTTAGGGCCAGCTAAAAAAATAAAAGAACACTACTGAAATTAAGAACCAGATATGTTTTGACTATTATCTGATCAAAGAAAGTATCCACAGTTCCAATGTCAGGCACGTACACTATTTCGACAAACTCATTCTTATATTATCAATATTCTTTAAACAAAGATCTACACCCTCTACATGTGCATCGCAACCAAATATAAATAAATACAAAATAAGTACCATGGGTTACAATCATATTATGAAAAGAACCATTGTTTTATAATAATCAAAAGGTGATATCAGTTTAAAAATCAATGTGATAAGGCTCAAGATATACAGTAGTACAATAATGAAAAAATAAAATAAAATTCAGTGGAACCTTGGTGTACAATTGCACCTGAACACGAATTTACCGAGGTACGACGACAATTTCTCCATAAACTTATGAAGCCTTCAAAAAACCAGCGTTGAATGTAATGAAACGCCATTTTCTGGGTGAGTCCCGGAGGCTCCCCGGAGCTATCCCAGGCTGATATGCTAATGTCAGACTTTGGCATCAGTCATGTGTATGGAGTTCTTAGGCCTACCGGGGACCACGGCCAGAACCGGGCCCCCTCAGAGAGGCAAGGGGAGCAATGGCCTATAGAAGCCCCCGTGTAGTTGGAAGCATTCTATGTCTGCCATCGACCGGAACAGGCACCCAGAAAGGTAAGCGCCCCAAAACAAACCCCTATTCTGGTTAAAATTGCTACCTAATACCGAACTAGTGGATAGAACTCCCCAACCGAAAACAAGCAAATTAGTGTGACGTCACACACTGCCGCGCCGCTGTCTGCGCAGCTCCCCCCTCCCCGGGAGGGGGAAGGGGGAGCCCCAGACCCCCCGCGCCGGCTACCCACACCTCAGTTCTTGAGGCTGGATGTCAAAAACGCGAAAAACCGCCGACCGGAGGGAGGGAGGGATGCCGGGGAGCCTCCGGGACTCACCCAGAAAATGGCGTTTCATTACATTCAACGCTGGTTTTCTGGGGGGAGCCCCGTCGGCTCCCCGGAGCTAACTACCCACAGACAGAAAAAGAGGGACTTACCCGGGAGGCGGTTGTCGCTCACCCCTCAACTCGAAGCCGAGACAACTGGCTGCAACCGCCGACCCAAAGCAACACAGGCCCGACGAGGGCCAGGGACATTCACAAGGTAACGAGCAGCCAGGACCCTGTTCGACCGCCAAAATCCCCGCGCCCGAATATCAGACCAAGACATATTCCCAAAGACGGCAGCAAGAGCCGCGAACTTACGAACGTCATGGGCACGGGGATAGACCGCAGGCTGGCTAGACCCAATAACCCTGCGGACGACCTGAGAGACCCGAACCCGCGAACAGGGAAGAAGGGAAACCGGATCAACCCACAGCGCGTCCCCGGACACAGAAGCTGTGGCGCGCAAATAACGGCGAAGCGCCGCAACCGGACACAAAACATGATGCACCCCCGGCCTGACCAACCAAGCATCAACCACCCATGGACCCCTCCGGAACGCAGCAGTCTCATTCTTCGCCAGAAAAGAAGGAGACGGCTGCAAACGAACAAAACTATCACCACGACCAAAAGAGCAGAAACCCCTGCGCCGGAGGAGAGCATGAAGCTCCCCTACCCGACCCCCAGAGGCCAAAGCCAACAAGAAAAGTGCCTTGGAAAAACAATCCTGGACCGAAGGGGCCACAACGAAACGAGGAGATGAAAGGAAAGCGAGCACTCTGTCCAAAGACCAGGACGGCTCAGGCGACGCATGAGCAGGCCGGAGGTGAAACAATGCACGAGACAGCTTGCGAAACGGCGCAGACGTAACATCGATACCGAAAGCAAGCTGAAGCGGCTCCGCCAGCGCCGCACGATACGAAGCAACAGTGTTAGGCATAAGATGACGGTCCTGAAACAACCACGAGAGGAAGGACAAGACCACCCGAACAGACAAGGAGCTAACACGACGAAGACGCAAAAAGAAACGGAAGGACCGCCAGGAAACTTCATACTGCCGCCGAGAAGAAGCCCTCAGGTGGGACACCAACAAGGAGGCCACCTGATCACCATAGAGATGATGATAGACTCGAGTCAAAAAAACCATACGCGAAGACTCGAGGAGAAGATCGAACCAGCTACGTGACGTACCGGCCCGATCTGCTGAAAGAGGCGGAGCCGCGGGAAAACCCTCGGGTTCGGACACCGAGCAACCAGCGCCTGAAACCAAGGCTGGGCCGGCCACCAAGGGGCCAGAAGGACAACTCTCCCCTGGTAAGTCTCTAAGCGAGTCAGGACCTGGAGCAACAGCCGAACTGGGGGAAAGAGGTACAGGAACCCCCACCTCGACCAGTCGAGCCGAAAGGCATCGACCCCGACGGCCTCGCAATCGGGGAAGGGCGCCGCATAAACGGGAAGACGCCGCGACCACGCCGACGCGAAGAGGTCCACCTCGGGGCGCCCGAACGTCTGGCAAAGCCAACGGAAGGACTCGTCGTCGACCGTCCACTCCGTGGAGAGGGGAACGAAGCGAGACAGGGCGTCGGCCAAGACGTTGGACACGCCCCGTACGTGAACCGCCAGGAGAGCCAAACCCCGAGAACTCAGCAGACGAGTCACCCGAAGCGACCAACCCCAAAGAGACAAGGACCGCATCGAACCCCCGCGGTTCAGGCAATGAACCACCGGAGAGCAGTCCGAATGGAGCCGAATCGTCGATCCGCGGGCCACCCGAATCCTCCCCAGAGCAAACCACACTGCCGCGAACTCCCGCACCGTACTGTGAGCTCGACGGAAGGACGGATCCCAACGCCCCTGGCCGGCCTGGTGAGCACTGGTCACAAAACCCCAGCCGAGAGACGACGCATCCGTGTACACATCGAGCGAGGGCTCGGGTAGGCGCCAAGGCACTGAACCCCGAAAAACCCGAAGAGGAAGCCGGTGACGCAGCAACCGACGCAAGTCCCCGGGGGTCGAACTCTGCGATCGCGAGAGAGGCGGAAGGGGGAACCCCGAAGGAACCAGAACAGCCGTCGAAGCCAAACCCGACCCGGCGGGTAGACCACCATCGCGAAGTTCAGGCTCCCGCACAGCCCCTCGAGCAACCGCCGGGTGACCCGAGGGCCCTCCAGAAACAGACGAAGGCGGGACCGCAGCCGCAGGAGAGACTCCGGAGGGAGAGACAAGGAGGCGGTCCGAGAGTCCCACACGAGACCCAGCCAAGTCCGAACCCGAGAGGGAACCAGATGGGACTTCCTCCAGTTCACCAAGAACCCGAACCCGGCGAGCTGGGAAAGAACCAAATCCCTGGCTAGCAAGCAAGCTGACTGGCTGGGAGCCCAAACCAACCAGTCGTCGAGGTAGGCCAACACCCGAACACCTAGGAGACGCAAACGAGCCACCACAACCCGTGTAAGGCGTGTGAACACGCGAGGTGCCAGGTTCAACCCGAACGGGAGACAACGAAAACGGTAACTCAGACGCCCCACTACAAAACCGAGCCAGTCCCTGAACCGCGGATGAATCGGGACATGCCAATAAGCGTCCCGGAGGTCCAGGGACACCATCCAAGCACCCGGCTCCAAGAGGAGCCGAACCTGAGACAGCGTAGTCATCCGAAAGGAGGGGCAATGAACCCAGGGGTTCAGACGGGACAAGTCCAGAATGAACCGCAGGTCCGCGCAGTCCCGTTTCGGAACCGGAAACAGACGGGAAACCCATCTGAGGGACGACGTCGTTTCGACGACGCCCAAGCGAACCCACTCCAAGACGACTCGACAGAGCGCAGGGGAAGAAGCCTGCCCCGCCAGCCCCGACCCCCCAAAGGGGGGAGGGGCCACCCAACGCCACCGCAGGCCGCGAGACACGACCCGAAAGGCCCACGAATCGTGGGACCAGGCGCGGGCGAACAGCGCAAGCCGCCCCCCCATCGCCCCGTCAAAGGGGCAAACCGCGAAAGGGCCGGCGACCCTTACGAGACCCAGAACCCCGCACAGCGCGAACACCGCGCCGACCAGACGAGGGAGGGTCCGCAGGAGGAGCCAACCCCAAACCTGACACCAGAGGCCTACCACGACGAGAGGAACCCCGAGCCCTGGCACGACCTTTCCGGGAAGACCCACCCCGGGACCCCCGGAAAACCAACAAGTCCGACATCGGACGACAAGCCGCCGACGCAGCCTGAATAAACTGCGCCACGGCCGACTCCCCAAACAGGAGAGGACAAAAAGGTGAAGAACGCCTAAGAGCCAGAGCCCAAGCAGATTCCACGGAGGAACCCAGCACCGCCTGCCGACACGCGAGACGGGAAGCATAGAACAGGGAAACCGCATCCCGCAAAATCGGCGTGAACAGCTTCAACAAGGCAGCCGACGAACGCGCAGCCGAGGACAAGGTGCCGGACCCCGGGACGGACCCAAGCGTCCCCACATCCTCCACGAGCCAATCCGAAGACAGCTCCAGGAGGGAAAAGAACCGCAAGGCCGAACACAAAAGGCCCCGAGCGCGCAAGTCCTCCGCCACGAGCGCCGCCGAAAGGGAGGGAACCTGCACATGGAGCTGAATAACGCCCACATCGCGGGGAAGGGCAGGGGCAAACAAGCACTCATTCAGGTACTCAAGTTCACCCCCCAGGAAAACCTGAAGCACCGTGGAAGCTTCCCGCCACTCCAGCGTGCGGGAACGACAGAAGGAATGCCAGGAATCCAGACCAAACAAGGGGCAGTCTGCTAGCCAGGATGACTCCGGAACCTCGTAACGGAGCCAGAAAGGGAACGAAGTCCCAAACCTGAACGTGGACGGATCCATTTCCGAGGCATAATCCGGGTCACGCAGGAGGTAAGCTGCAAAGGCCGCGCGCACCACACCAGGTTGGATGCGATAAGCCGAAAACCTCCTGAAGGACGGAACCGACGTACCCGGGGGAACACGGAACCGTACCCGGGGAGGGGCCGACACCAAATCCAACTCGTACGCAGAGGGGGGAAAGAAAACCCCACTCCTTGTAACAATAAGCCCCGCTCAGTGGGAAGAAAAACCCCGGCGGGGTCCAGCGGGGCCCAAGGCCCCCAAGTCAGCCCCTCCCCAGCCTCGAGGTCCGGCACCACAGGACCCGAGGCCGAGTCCTCTCCCCAAGCCCCGACCCCACAAGACAAGGACGGAGCAGCCGGAAAAGCTGGAGGAAGGGGGGCCCACTGGTCAGACCCTGAAGCTTCGGCCGGGAGACAAGACTCGAATGCCTCTGCCGCCCCACCCGGAAGGGGCAACCCCCGAAGCTGCCCGAGTCTCGAGATCAAGTAACCCCTGCTCCGACCCCGAAACCCTCAGACGCTTCGGGGCCGGAAGCAGGGGCGGGGGACCAGAACGAACAGAAGGGGAAGGACGAGGAGGTGTGGACTGAACCAGGATCGAAGCGACCCCCACCCCCAAGTCCGGGTCTCGAAAAGCAAAGCGGGGCAGCCCCGGGGCATCCGGGGAAGCAACCAACCGAGCGCGTTGCAACAGACGAAACCTAGACTGCAACGCACGTGCCGCCTGTACCCGAATAGAATCATCAGAGGATTGGGTAAATTGAGTCACAAGCAAGCAGCAACACTCACAGGACTCAGGGTCGAAAGTATCACCGACCCAACAGGCAGCGTGGCAGAGGCAAAAACAATGAGGGTCACCCTGAGACAAGGGGACCGAGCAACCCTCAAACTCGCACACAGCGAGTGGGGACTCCGGGGTCACATCCATCGGACCCACGCGCCCCCTAGGGGATTCCCAGGGTCCTGAGCGTTTACTTTAAGAGGACTCGCGCTCAGGTAGTCCCAGGCAGGGTGCTGCAAACCGGCGCCCAAAACTACCAAGCAAACTTCTAAAGCTGAACCCCAGGGACGTGTACACTCACGGGGACCTAGCAGGGGGCGCCACCGAGGAGAACAGTGGAAGGGCAAAAACAAACTGAATAAAATGACAGAACCCCCCACCAGGCAAAAACAAAAAGAAAAACAAAACCCCGCAAGAGGACAGCGAACCCCAAGGAACAGAGCCGGCCGCGATGTCGGGAATTACAAGCTGAGCAGCACCCTGCGCCCCTACCAGTGCAAACTGCCTCTTACCTGCCGGTAACAAGGGAGAACAGAACACCCAAGAGCCCAACAGGCGGCCGAAAAACCGAAAGGTAAAACGGACCAGCAGAGGCAGACCCCGAGGAGCCTGTGGAAGGTGGCCCCAAGCCCCAAGGGCAGTACTTACAGGGCACCTAGGGAAGGCAGCCCTAGGCGCATGCAGCCCGAGTACTGAAGATAACTCCTGGCTCTCGCACCCACAAAACTAACACCACACTCAAAGCACAGTGCAGTAGCGACACCGGAGCCAGAGCACACGACCACCGCCAATAGCATCAGCCTCAAGAACTGAGGTGTGGGTAGCCGGCGCGGGGGGTCTGGGGCTCCCCCTTCCCCCTCCCGGGGAGGGGGGAGCTGCGCAGACAGCGGCGCGGCAGTGTGTGACGTCACACTAATTTGCTTGTTTTCGGTTGGGGAGTTCTATCCACTAGTTCGGTATTAGGTAGCAATTTTAACCAGAATAGGGGTTTGTTTTGGGGCGCTTACCTTTCTGGGTGCCTGTTCCGGTCGATGGCAGACATAGAATGCTTCCAACTACACGGGGGCTTCTATAGGCCATTGCTCCCCTTGCCTCTCTGAGGGGGCCCGGTTCTGGCCGTGGTCCCCGGTAGGCCTAAGAACTCCATACACATGACTGATGCCAAAGTCTGACATTAGCATATCAGCCTGGGATAGCTCCGGGGAGCCGACGGGGCTCCCCCCAGAAAGCCTTCTGTAGTTCCTTTATCAGGTTCAAATGATGATTGATTGGCCAGGTATACCTCATTACAATTATATAGTTGATAAAACCATATGAACATCATTGGTATACTACACATGTAATTATGATAGAACTTTATACACTGATGAGTACAGTACCACATTCGCATAGTAACACTTGTGGCAATAATCGCATTCACTTATTAAGGTAACCATGAAACAATAACATTATTTTTTTATGTGCCAAGGTAAACTCCACTACAGCCACAAAGAGCTTTTATTGGTATTAGTATCATACACGGAAAACCCAGACAATAAGTTTAAATCATCATTTGCCAATAACTACATTACCCCATGGATAATCAAGTGACAATAACCATTCTTTAAGGGTAAGGTAATACAGTAATTGCAAGAGTTATCACCAGAGTTGGTTGGTTGGACTGGTTGATCAGTCCAGCAACCAGGAGGCCTGGTCGACGACCGGGCCGCGGGGACACTAAGCCCCGGAAGCACCTCAAGGTAGCCTCAAGGTAGGAGTGTTAAGACTATATGTCATTCCTGAGGAATTTAAGTGGAAACTGTGTGCTCCAATGCCAGCTTCTTGGGAATGTATTCCTGCAGATTGGTTGCCAACTATTTGTTGTGAAACTCTTATTAAAGTAGAGATTCCAAAGTTTTGTAATTAGAAGCCATGTTAAAAAATAAATTTATTACGTTAAACAAATTTCTGTCAGACCTATCTCTTAGTAATATTGACTGTCCTCAATGACCTAGTTCTGGCACTCATCTAATTAACCACCGCACTGCGCACCTGGTTTTGCCAAAACCTTCATAGTGCAATTGTTAACAACATATTTTTGTTGTTTTTATAAATGTTCAGGTAAAGTTAATGTCAAAATGTTTCCAAACTCGACTATTTTCATTTCAAAACACAAAGAGTGATGAAAAGTTGAAAAACATTAAAATATAGTCTAACTAAAAAAAAAGAAAGCACAACTCTCAGAGAGCCTGAAGGCACTCTGCACAGCATGGTGGTTAATCAAATGTACAACCTTTACTGTCTTCTGCATTATAAGCACGATCAACTTATATCAAAGTCCATAGGAATATTTGTCTCGAGTAGGCTAACCCTCAGTGGAGCATTAATTCAACAAGTGGACCATGAGAAACAAGCAGTCTGGCTTCTATGTGCTTCTGATAAATTTTGCAAACGGTCAACCATATACAAGTAAGGCGATTACTGGAAGCAGAAGTTGTTGGAAAAAGTTGAATATCACAATGCTATCACAGATAATTGTGAAAACACAATTATAGTACAGAATGACAGTGAATATCAAGAGAACTCTCACTCCTGTCCATATATAACGGGCTAACATATCAACTACTCTACCTGCTTTAATGTGCATAAAATGGTATTATTTTATTACAATGACTTACCTTTACAAAATGATGAAAATTTTGAGTCCATTTGGATTTATCTTTTAGCGTTGGAGGCTTAAAGCCACTTTTAGACATGAGAAATAGTGCCCGCATGGGATGAAGATCAAACATTGGCGGTTGAAGTTCTGCTAGCTCAATGGCCGTTATTCCAACAGCCCAAATATCACACAGTTGATTGTAACCTCCTTTTCGTTCAACTGCTGCAACCTGATAAAGAAAATAACATATCCTTTATCTTTATTAACTCATATTTGAATGGGGGGATAAAGCAAAATACCTTAACAATTACTTATAAATTACTTTTTTAAATTTAATAGCTCAAATGTTTAATGTCCTCTCAATGGATATACAGGTTAAGTACAGTTGAGAAGCGGGACCAAAGAGCCAGAGCTCAACCCCCTACAAGCACAACTAAGTGAGTACAGGTACAATGAATCACATCCCACACACTATAGCTATACCTCTGTATGCAATTCTTAGACAAAATTTACATCCTGCAACTATTTTCAGAAATTAAATGAAGCACTAATATTCTTGTTAAGCAAGTCACCGAGCCCTAATAAAACATTTGCTAGTCTATACATAAATGCAAAGAACTCAATCGTACATTAAAAAACCCGGGTGGAATGTAATGAAACGCAAATTTCCGAGTGAGCCTTAAAGCTCTCTTGCTGAGATGGCCCCTAGCTACTGGATAATATCAACTGTCGAGTTCGGTTTGGCCTACCAGAGACCAAACCCAGAACCTGGCCCCAGATCATAGAGGAGAAGGAAGCAAATGACAGTGCCACCTCACCTGGGAAGGGTCCCAAAAAGTTAGCAAACCAATACAGACAAATGCTGGGTTCAAAGTGACGAAAGGATCAAAACCTGCCACATGAACTCCCCCAACAATTTAAAGAAACAATCTCAAAGCAAGCAAATCGACTATGAACAAATAAACCAAGACCTCACAAAAATATTCTGGGAAAGGCAGCTAAATAACATAAACTTTAACTAGTGCTTTGAGAAAATAGGCCCAGTAGCACTAGAAACATGTGCAAGTCACATACCACAAAGGAGAGAGGAAAAAAGATGCCAACTGGAATGAGAACAGCATGCCCTCTATAGATGAAGAAAACAAATCACAGAATCTCAAATGTTCCACTCAACTCCAAGAACGACAGAGTAGAAACTTTTAAGTTTAATATGCAGAAGGTTAATATATCTGTGTAGAAAAACAATCATGCTAAAGATGCAGGAATCATAAAATCCAGGAAAGGCAAAGAGCAAAAGGCCACAAGTAAAGAAGAATTCAAAATACTTTTTCTATGCAAAATCTATTTCAAAAACTACATTTGCAATGGGTCCTTATCCAAGGGTGATGGAACTTTCACAGATGACAACAAAGAAAGGAGTGAAATCTGAGGCTAGAGTACGATTTTCTTTTCAGTGAACCCTTGAACACATTGAAGATTAAGGATCCAAATGAATTCTTATGAATGTGTCACCACCATTGAGCCATATATCAGACATCACCCTAACCCCACTGGATTCTGAAGTAGCCATAGAGAGCATGTTCAGAAGGCCAGCAAGTACCTTGGCAGTACTCCTGGAATTCTATATTCACCAAGAAGTGCAAAGAAAACCACAATCACATTCCCTAAACATTTTTTGGAGAGCCTAGATATTGGTTTTACCCAAACATACTTAAGACAAAGGAGATCGCACCACATCACAAAAGAGGTAGTAAAGCAGATGAAAAAAAAAAGCATTGAATGTAATGAAGTGCCACCTTTTGGGTCGGGTACATGTGGGTCCTTCTTAACTGCTCTCTATACATGTGGGCTATGTGGATGGATTTTGTTGCTGTGGGCCCCCCTTTAACCACTTCTCATGTCCGCATACTCAGTTCTCCTATTGTTTATGCTAGTTACGTTAGGTTAAGGTTGGTTTGACTGTTGGGTTTGTCATAGTTTGCCATTCTCAAGGTTAGGTTTGGTTAGGGTAGGGTTGGTCGGTTCCTATGCAGGTTTCATTCCAGGGTTAGGCTACCTCTTAACCCTTAAACTGCTTAAACTAACCCCAGTCAATGGCAGATAAGGAACCATTGCTCCCTGTGCCTCTCTGAGAGGGCCAGGTTCTGGCTCATAGTCCCAGGTAGGCTGAACTCCATTGACTAATGCCCTAGTCTAACGTATCGCATATTAGCCTGATAGCTCCAGGGAGCCGAAAGGGTTCCCCCACAGAAATGTTTTATTTTCATAAAATTGGCAACCCTGCTGTATGAATATCATGCATAACCAGGAGCTAAAATTGTGTAAATGTATGTTATGCCGTATACACTAACATCCTACCAAATTTCATACAAATCTGAGATGGTCAGTTTGGGAGCTGTGATGATTTGGAATGAAATGACCTTTCAGTATAATCATACTGAATGCCCTAAATATCCTTCATTTCTAGGAATGTATAATTTACACAAAGGATATTCATTTATAATAAGATCCATTTTTTTCTCTGAAGAGATAATCTTTGTGACCATAAAAGCTGAAGAACAGAAACTATACAATAGTGACTATTGCTTCAGAATCTTCCTTATGATTTCACTTCCTCTTTTTTTTTACTTCCAAAGAATGGATCTGAAAGAAAAGTGTCTACTTAAAGACAATTACCGGCTTGTATGAAAAGAAATCTCACTTAAGAACTATTATCACCAAACCTCAGGAGCCATCCAGTATGGTGTTCCAATAAACGACTTCCTCTTGCTAATTGTGGCTGTAATTTGAGCAGATACACCAAAATCCGCAAGCTTCACATCCCCATTCTCCGTCAACAAAATGTTTGCTCCCTAGAAGAAAATATTCACAGAATTAAGAAAATTGGCCAAGTTAAAAAATAATTCAGGAATTAACACAAAAATTGCACCTCTTTCAGAGTAATTATGTTTAAGCACAAGAATAGAAGGTAATATACACAACCCCTTCACCCAGCCATTTGGACACTCGATTACAAAATTGGTTAGTAAGGTTTGTTTTGATAACAGTTAACTGTCCGAGGAACAGTCTCACTGGTCTCAATGACAGACATATCTCAAAAGGCTACAAATAATATAATGAAGATTGCACAAAGAAATCACATTAACATGCTGTATCTATGAAAAAATCAGTTGAAGTCATGAGGAAGGTTCGAACCTACACTCTAGGTACTCCCAAGCACATGCCTTAACCCTACAACAGTGCATCATATCAGGTGATGGGGTGGCTAAATATGCTCAAACTGAGCATCACATCAGGTGATGGGGATGGCTAATATGCTCAAACTGGGCATCACATCAGGTGAAATATTAGGATACTGCATAATATTTAAAAGTTTGGCACATATATGGGGCTCACATTTGCTTGCTCAGGCCACCAGTAACCTTCCCCCCATCTTGAAAAATAATCCAGAGTCCCTCACCTTCCTTCTAGGGCCTCGGTAAAAAAATGAGGACCATGTCTGGCACATCAATACCCAGTGTCTGGATGTGCAGGGTGGCCATGCTAGGACCCATTGAACTTGTATCAACAGCAAATAAGTGATAACCATGTATATATTTACAGGCAAAATGTGTGCTATGTGCAGTTATAAGATTTAGGCTTTTAATTGTATGCATACATACATACATACATATACACAAACACACACTCAAACACACACACAGGGAGCCGGTCGGCCGAGCGGACAGCACACTGGGCTTGTGATCCTGTGGTCCCGGGTTCGATCCCAGGCGCCGGAGAGAAACAATGGGCAGAGTTTCTTTCACCTTTTTGTAAACAGAGTGGTAGACGGTTGGAACAAGTTAAGTGAGAAGGTGGTGGAGGCCAAAACCGTCAGTGGTTTCAAAGCATTATATGACAAAGAGTGCTGGGGAGACGGAACACCACGAGCGTAGCTCTCATCCTGTAACTACACTTAGGTAATTACACGTAGGTAATTACATACACACACACACACACACACGTGACCAAAGAGCCAATAGCTATACCCCTGCAAACACAACTAGGTGAGTACATACAAACATAGCTAGCTAGCAAACAAAAATTTTGCCTGTAAATATATAGATGTAATCATTCATTTTCTGTTAAATGTTCAATGGTTCCTGGTAAGCAATACACAACTCCCATATCTGATGTGAACCCTTTACATGGAGCAATCTCAGCTAGATGGCTTCAGGAAGCCAGTAGGGGCTCCCCCAGAAAATAAACGTAACAGAATCATAAGATATCCAATGGGATTTGAGATTATAAGCATTCTTACTACTGTATACCAACTTTGGTTTTGTTAACCAAATATTTTACCTTAATGTCTCGATGCATTTTTCCCATGCGATGAAGATATTCTAGACCTCTAAGCGTTTCCCGACACATGTATCCAATTTGCCGTTCTTGAAGGGGACCAATGACTGAAATTAACAACATTAATATCAATACAGTATAGAACCATTACAAAATTCTGAATGCAATTGCCCATAACATATTTATTACATTCATATACTGTACAATGACATTAAATCAAAGTTAAAACAATTTATAGCAAGAGAACCAATTACAGTTATATTAATAACTGTTGGGTCAGTTCTAAAACGTACAAGCTGTATTTACACATCATACTTCATTCTGGGAGAACCCCCTTGTGACTCCCTGAAGCTATCTCGCCGAGACATGTCACATCAGCCATGGAGTTCTTTGTGGCCAGCTCCAGAATCTAGCCCCTGTAACAGAGGCACAAAAAGGAGGTGGCATTCCGCCACCCAACCGGGAAAACATCGAGAAAGTCAACACACTAATACAGACCCGCCAGGTTCGGAGTCACTGAAGCCTCGTAACCGTCACAAAAACTACCCCAACAATGTAAAGAAATGATTGAATCTTAGGGAACAAGCATGTGCTCATTAGTACTACCCCCATCCATAACCAGGGGTAAAGGAAAAGAAACTATCAGGAGAAAGCCCCAAGTCATTACAACTATACTGGAAGGGATCAGGATAAGGATGTTGGATAGAAATGGGGAAAAGGAATGGTGCCCCATCACTTGGATGGTCAGGAACTGAACATTGACATGCATGAAGCAAGACCGTCGCTCTACCATCCAGCACAAGTGGAGCTCTTGGTCCATTCCAATCCCTTACACCAGTTCATTTGTTGATATGGACATATGTACATGTCCAGGTTGATTGACAGTTGAGAGACAGGACCAAAGAGCCACAGCTCAACCCCTGCAAGCACAATTAGGTGGGCTGAAGGGTTCCTGGTTCACTAGTAAGTCATGCAGGACCTGCTGCTTCTAAGCTAAGTGCCAGTCAACCTGGACTTTGGCCTGTGGGGTCCATTTGTACCTATCGTTTCTTGTTTTACTTGAGCTTGATGAATGTGCTTTTCAGCCAGTTTGTGTCGTGTTGGTCACTTTCTGGTTGCCTTCCCTGGTGAGGTGGTGTAAATAAATATCACCACTTCCTATGCTTGATTGAAGGGGGCCAAGTTCTAGCCCTAGTCTCTCGTAGGCCTATAGAACTCTTATGGTTGATATGGCCTAGTATATGGTACGATCTCAGTATAGATAGCTTGAGGAAGCCACAAGGGGCTCACCCTAGAAAAAGGGGTTAGACCTAGGGTAAAGTCACATATAACCAGGAACATGCTGGTAACCAGATACTGGCACCATAACAACAAAGTACCTACACCAGTTGATACAAAGAAATCACAAAAGTTGTCATGAATTCTCTGAATATACAGTACTCTAATATAATTGATATGTAAAAAGGCATCTAGCATGAAATTATTATAATACATTTTATACCTAATTACTGTCTTTCATTACTGTATACCATTCAGAAGTGTATTAATGCACGGATCAATATGTCTTTTCTTCTTTCAAATACAATACATAAGTATTGTAGGCAACAAATAGGAATAGCTGTACACCAAGAAAACATTTCCTAAAATCCATTATTTTCCACTAACTTTATCCCACCCCATCTGAACATGCAACATTGTTGTAACAGTCAACACTTACTGTGGTATATATCTTGCAATGATCCACCACCACAAAATTCCATACATATCCAAAGCTTGTCTCGACGAAGATAACTCCCAAAATATGCCACTATGTTTGGGTGTCGGCAGTCTTTCATCATCAATATCTCCTGCTGTATTATGGTAAAGTCATCCCCTGGAAGAATGAATAGGCAAAGTCAAAAACATTAACATTACATTATTCTGACATTATTAAAAGAACATGGTCGCTCTTGCCCAAGGAAGGAAGGTACTGAATGAAGAATTCAGTGAAAGTTATGTGATTAACTGTACAGTAGGCTACCTTACCTTGAGGTGCTTCCGGGGCTTAGCGTCCCAGCGGCCCGGTCGTCGACCAGGCCTCCTGGTCTAAAATCTATGTCTAAAATCTTGTACAGTTTCAAATTTATTTAATATACTGTAGGTGTTCATGTGAATGGTTTAATGATTCATCACCAAGCTTATAGACTAAATAATTTGGTAGTGACTCAATAAATTTGGCCATTAAATTACAATACATTTGATTGCTGGGTTTGATTACTGTGCTGCCTAGACATACAGTATAACTATTATTACAAAAGTTGTCATCTTGAGGCTCTCTTGAGATGATTTCGGGGCTTAGCGTCCCCGCAGCCCGGTCCTTGACCAGACCTCCTTTTTGTTACACTCCCAGGAAGCAGCCCGGAGCAGCTGTCCTGGTAACTGTAACTCCCTGGTACCTATTTACTGCTAGGTAACAGGGGCATCAGGGTGAAAGAAACATTTTGCCTATTTGTTTCCGCCTTCCCCAGGGATCAAACCCGGAACCTCAGGCCAATGAATCTGAAGCGCTGTCCACCCAGCTGCCAGGCGCCCTTAGATGCTGCAGCTTTCAGATCCTTTGGTATTTGTCAACCCTCAAAGACTGGCTATCATCATATAATGCCAATTTTGATAATTATAACCATGCTGGGATTACCCAGATCGCTGGTTCGAGTTACAGCATTGCTCTTCTTAATTTTCTCACCGATATAAATCACATTACTGTGATTTCTTTGTGTGTAGCCCAGTTTTTATATAAATGATGTAAATATGGTTATAATACATGCATATGGATGTACAGTAATAAAGCTAGCTAAGATCCATGAAAAAATTATTTTACTATTTTGTAATTACTTATTATGTGACGAGTTTATCGTTTACAGTACAGACTAATAGCCTGCAATTATCATCATATCACAATTTGGTCTTTCCTACCAGTTTGTGGTTATAATATTGCACAATGATTATACATGTCTTTTTGTACATATGGATGTACAGAAATGGAGTTAATCTAGACCCCTGAAACATTTTTCTATCGTTTAGTAATTACTGTATATTGAATAGAGTATTGATAAAACAAGATTTTTATTATCGCTTTACTTCTTCCTCCTAGGAACCATTACCTTACTATTACCAAAGATTGTCTATTCCCCCATGGACAGTGATAGAGAACAATTAGCACTAGCCAGTCTTATGAGCAGCACAACAAGGTATTTATTTGACACCAACTCAATTTACAAAGCCACTGTAAAATAATAATAACCATATAAATGAAAAACCAAATACATACCTGGCTCCAACTTGATGACTTTAATTGCAGCGAACTCATTAGTGATGAGACGTTTTGCCTGGAAAAACAAAACAATTAAAATAGGGCCTACAAATATTACAAAAACCTCATTAAATTTCTGGACAGGTTCCCTCAGTGGCTATCTGCTGTAAGCCACCTGGACAGCTACACACACGTACACCAGGCTCTTGTGAGTCAAGGCCTACCAGACACCACAGGCCAAAACCTGGTCCCAACACATAAGCCAGAATTCAGATCACAATTGTTATTTATAACTACAGAATAACAAAAGCAAATTAATCAAATTTTATAATGTTTTTTGCCTTATAAGATAATTGTTAAGAACTTTTAATTCTTAAAAAATGGCCTGTTGGTATTAAATGATATACAGGAATGAACAAATTGCCCCAACTGCATTATTAACTTTTTTATTGCTAAAGAAAATATTCTAACAAAAATTATAATTGTCAATGAAGGAATGCTTATCAAAGATATCATGAATCAACCTAATTCATATTTGGTTTTAAACTACTCAAAGCTAACCTAACTTATGCAGACCAGCATGGCAAGCTGGAGAGAAAGTCAGAAATGAAGAGCTTTGTTTAACAACTATATGTTGACAATCTTGCCTAGTTCACTTCACGTCTGCTAGATACATGTCACGTTATACACATGATTGACATATGGATATTAAAATCCTATTTAACATTTGATACTCATTAAGGATTTGTACATAATATTGTATATTGGGATTGTACAAATCAATTACAAAATACGAAATAGCTTTAGATGAAAGTTAATGAATAAAATCACCCTTATGCAACATGTGTTAAAACAATCATACTCCCAATTTTGACAGCTCAATAAGAATTAGTAGAAATGTGCATAGTTAATGTTGCCTACGTCAGATAAAATAAATATTTAATGTTATGCACATATACACGATACAAGACAAATATGACATATTTCTTTAGCGTAGTTATCCATAATTAGTGAGCCGAGGTGACATTACACTGTTATGAGAGTGGGAGCCTTACCGTCCACCAGCTGTTACCACCAGCTGTTACCACAATTAAACACCCACCACTCACCTTTTGTCTGTATGAACAACAATAATTGTGTACATTGCCATTTAATGTCCCTAGCCATTTTTCCATATATATATTTACACTGAGAAAGTGAATATTTTATACTGCATTTTCTGAGTGTCTTTATACCCCATCTACATGTGATACACATTCTCAACATGTCATGGCCTAGCAAAGGTTTTATAATGTGGATAGGAAGTGTGTGTTGTCCAAAGTGACAGTTAGCCATAAGTATGGTGAGGCACTCAAGAGTGTGGCACTCCAGCCCTGACTTGACAGTGTCACACATGACCACACCTGCCCTCCAAGACTGAATGTGCCTCACACACTAGCACACCAGTGCTGGGGTGTGTGGCCGGAGAGCCCATATGGTGATGAGGGGAGGGTAGAGGTGAGAGATGAGTGTGAGTGAGGTATGAGGTAGAAGGGTGGTCACCTTGTAAACATCGCCGTAGGTGCCACTGCCGATGCGTTGGATGAGCTCATACTCGTCCTGGGGGTTACGGCGGCTGATGTCTGAGGACAGGACAGCCGTCGCCGCCCCGCCGCCGCCCGCCATCATGCCGCACCCAGCCTGCACCCCGCCACACACACCAAACTTACGCAGAACAGTATTAAGCTGTCTGCTCTCGACCTTGCACAGTTCCCGTGTTCAATTGACTGTTCCGGCGGTCAGGAACGGACCGCCGTGGGGGGAGCGGCACGCGCGGAACGGAACCTGCGGAACGGAACGCGCCTCCAAACAATGGCCTTCAAGATATCGTTTACTTAAATAATAATATTTTTAGATGCTAACCTAAAGTGAATGATAGAATATGAATGTTTGATTATTGTAGAGGGTGGAGGAGGGCGGGGGACTGATGGTCGTCGCGCCCTCCACGCCACACGACACACTCGCCTCTATATACTCCATATAATATATCTCTATATTATCAAACACCTACTGCCAACTCTCATATATTTGTACCCTTGAGTGGTGATGTACTGGTGGTGAAGAGTGGGGAATGGTGTTAGGCAAGGTAGGGTGGCGGGAGGCGAGTGTGGGCGTGGCGGCCACATAGCCAACATGGACGGTATTAAGGTGGTGGTGTTTGGGGCGTCGGGCAAGACGGGCACCTGCTGTACCCAGGCCGCCCTCAACTTGGGTGAGTACCCACGCCTACATCTCCGTCAGTACCTACGCCTACACCTCTCCACAATTCAGTAGTTCCCGCCATCAGTTGGGGAGGGTTGGGGTAGCTCTCGACAGAGGGCAGGCTGGCCACGACACCCCCAGTCTTCCTCACACACAACACCCTCCCTATACTGCTCCTCTACCTCACTCCCATCACAACTGTAAGCTCCCGGCGGAACAGAAACGTTTGGGCATCATTCCCGTTCACCTGCACCTCATAGTGAATAGGCAACATGAGTTAACTGTTGCATCCTGTTGTCTAGGGAAAGTCAGTAGCTGACCAAAAGGGAGACCTCCATTATCCTAAGTCTTATTGTACGTGTCTGACGAACTTAGGGCCACTAATACATGTGTTTACCTCAGGGCCACTAATACATGTGTTTACCTCAGGGCCACTAATACTTGTATTTACCTGAGGGCCACTAATACTTGTATTTACCTCAGGGCCACTAATACATGTGTTTACCTCAGGGTCACTAATACATGTGTTTACCTCAGGGCCACTAATACTTGTATTTACCTCAGGGCCACTAATACTTGTATTTACCTCAGGGCCACTAATACATGTGTTTACCTCAGGGCCACTAATACATGTGTTTACCTCAGGGCCACTAATACGTGTTTACCTCAGGGCCACTAATACATGTGTTTACCTCAGGGCCACTAATACACTTCAGGGCCACTAATACATGTGTTTACCTCAGGGCCACTAATACATGTGTTTACCTCAGGGCCACTAATACATGTGTTTACCTCAGGGCCACTAATACATGTTTACCTCAGGGCCACTAATACATGTGTTTACCTCAGGGCCACTAATACATGTGTTTACCTCAGGGCCACTAATACATGTTTTACCTCAGGGCCACTAATACATGTGTTTACCTCAGGGCCACTAATATGTGTTTACCTCAGGGCCACTAATACATGTGTTTACCTCAGGGCCACTAATACATGTGTTTACCTCAGGGCCACTAATACATGTGTTTACCTCAGGGCCACTAATACATGTTTACCTCAGGGCCACTAATACATGTGTTTACCTCAGGGCCACTAATACATGTGTTTACCTCAGGGCCACTAATACATGTGTTTACCTCAGGGCCACTAATACATGTGTTTACCTCAGGGCCACTAATACATGTGTTTACCTCAGGGCCACTAATACATGTGTTTACCTCAGGGCCACTAATACATGTGTTTACCTCAGGGCCACTAATACATGTGTTTACCTCAGGGCCACTAATACATGTGTTTACCTCAGGGCCACTAATACATGTGTTTACCTCAGGGCCACTAATACATGTGTTTACCTCAGGGCCACTAATACATGTGTTTACCTCAGGGCCACTAATACATGTGTTTACCTCAGGGCCACTAATACATGTTTACCTCAGGGCCACTAATACATGTGTTTACCTCAGGGCCACTAATACATGTGTTTACCTCAGGGCCACTAATACATGTGTTTACCTCAGGGCCACTAATACTTGTGTTTACCTGAGGGCCACTAATACATGTGTTTACCTGAGGGCCACTAATACATGTGTTTACCTGAGGGCCACTAATACATGTGTTTACCTGAGGGCCACTAATACATGTGTTTACCTGAGGGCCACTAATACATGTGTTTACCTACATGAGGGCCACTAATACATGTGTTTACCTGAGGGCCACTAATACTTGTGTTTACCTGAGGGCCACTAATACATGTGTTTACCTGAGGGCCACTAATACATGTGTTTACCTTGAGGGCCACTAATACATGTGTTTACCTTGAGGGCCACTAATACATGTGTTTACCTGAGGGCCACTAATACTTGTGTTTACCTGAGGGCCACTAATACTTGTGTTTACCTGAGGGCCACTAATACATGTGTTTACCTGAGGGCCACTAATACATGTGTTTACCTGAGGGCCACTAATACATGTGTTTACCTGAGGGCCACTAATACTTGTGTTTACCTGAGGGCCACTAATACTTGTGTTTACCTGAGGGCCACCAATACATGTGTTTACCTGAGGGCCACTAATACTTGTGTTTACCTGAGGGCCACTAATACTTGTGTTTACCTGAGGGCCACTAATACATGTGTTTACCTGAGGGCCACTAATACTTGTGTTTACCTGAGGGCCACTAATACTTGTGTTTACCTGAGGGCCACTAATACTTGTGTTTACCTGAGGGCCACTAATACTTGTGTTTACCTGAGGGCCACTAATACTTGTGTTTACCTGAGGGCCACTAATACTTGTGTTTACCTGAGGGCCACTAATACTTGTGTTTACCTGAGGGCCACTAATACATGTGATACACTAATGCATGTGTTTATCCTTTCATATGAAAGGGGTGACACCGAGGAAAATAAGACTCGCGTCCCTACCAAAACAAAAAAGAACACTCTTAATTATCGCAACAATCCTGCTTTTATCAGAATCCTGGTCATTTTTATCACACTCGGGGGTCTTCTGTAATACTATCATTGCTAAATAATAGCAGTTACTGTGCATGTATATTTTGTCATTTTTAGGCAATGCTGTAGTCACAAGCTGAATAGCAGTGCTTTTAGCTCATGCTACGTGCACTAGCTTTGGTTGCTCACTCAGTACTGAGGCACCCGAGGATGTTGCCCACGTTTTTGGTTTTTTTTAAATGGCGTCTGTTTACAAGAGCCCTGAGGAAGCTGATGTGAACCCCGTGTAGCCACGGAACATTTAAATCGTGCCCGGCACACTCCATCGACTATGTATGATGAGCGCATGGCGGGACATGTTACTCCCATTGCCTATGTATGTATTGCACAGCTTTAGGGTTAACAGATGAGACCAACCAAGTTGTAAATGTTGATAAAACGACAGCCAACGCTGAATGAATATTTACTTCAGTGTTCACACTATAAATATAAGACATCACAATACCCACACATATGTTTGAAGCAGGGAAAGAGAGAGAATAAGTATGCCTATAATGTGTAAACAGTAAAATAACCAGAAAGAGTATTGGCAAACTAAGACTCAAATTACCCAGGCATGGATAGAATTCAATCCAAAGTGGCAAGGCAGATTAACTATGTCTATTGCTGAAACACATTTTTAAAAGTCTGCATGAAGGGATAGTTCTACTAGTTTGGAAATATGCAAATGTCACACCCTTATTTTCAAAACCCCAAAGTTGAATGCAATGAAATACCCTTTTCTGGGTGAGCCCCATTGGTTCCCTGTAGCTATCTCAATTAAATTGTTCCAAGCAAATGGTTCGCATCCAACACTGGAGTTCTATTTGGCCTACAGGGACCAGAGCCAAAGCTGAGCCCCTCACAGATGCACAGGGAACAAGTAACAATTGATCTCATTGACTAGCCATCACCCACTAACCTGGACAGAAACTAGGCTGCAGGGATGCTGATCCTCAGCATCAACAAGTGTTCCTCAGGGCAGCATACTTGGCCCTCTCCTCTTTCTCATCTACATTAATGACCTTCCAAATGCCTCCCAACACCTCAAACCAATTCTATTTGCTGACGACACAACCTTCATTTACTCCAGTCCTGACCCTCTTGCTCTAAATGCCACAGTAATTACTGAGCTAGAGAAAGTCCATCTTTGGCTAACTGCCAACAAACTCACCCTTAACATTGACAAAACCTTCTATATTCTGTTTGGCAATAAATCCTCTAGTCTTATAAATCTCAAAATAAACAATACCCAAATTTGTAACAAATTAGATGGCAAATTCCTTGGCATTCTCATTGACCACAAGCTGAATTTCCAGGGACACATTCTAAATATATCAAAAAAAGTTTCAAAAACTGTGGGCATTCTTTCTAAGATCAGATATTATGTACCACGCCCTGCTCTGGTGACTTTCTATTACTCCCTTATCTATCCTTATCTCAACTATGGTATTTGTGCTTGGGGTTCTACTACCCAAAATCACTTACGTCCTCTAATTACCCAACACAAAGCCGCTATTAGAACAATATCCAACTCTGGCCCCAGACATCACTCGGTACCCCTACTCAAATCTCTTAATATGTTAGATATTAAGTCACTGCACATTCTCTCATGTGTATTATACATATATAAAACGCTAAACTATAATGCCAATCCTGATCTTAAAAGCTTCATAGAAGGTTGTAACAGAACCCATGAGCACCACACCAGAAATAAATACAGTTTTGATATTCCTAGAGTACGTCTTAATCAAACTAGAAATGCTCTGCAAATCAAGGGGCCCAGAATGTGGAATGACCTTCCCAACCATGTTAAAGACTGTACCTCTCTCAACCAGTTTAAGATAAAAACTAAACACTACCTAATAAATTCCCTGTAATCTACCTCACTCCTCTATTGTCAACCCATGTCTGTTATTTTCTTCTTTTTTTTTCTTTTTTTTAATCAACACTGTCAACCTATTGTATTTGTGCTGCTTTTTCAGTCATGTTCCCCCTTTTTTTTATCTTTATTTGTATTTGTTCTCAACATCTTTTATTCTTTATGCTCAATTAGTATTAAGTTCTAGATATTAATGTTTTTCTTGCCCGAAACGCATTGCGTAATAGTGGCTTTAGGCATTGTATGTACTAGCTCTATCTATATATCAATCCATTAATTTAACATCACTTGTATGTATATACCTTACCTGAATAAACATCTGAATCTGAATCTGAATCTGAAGTATACAGCAGGTATAGCATAAGATACAAATCCTATCATTAACCTTCAGCGTGTCATAAAGAGTGATTTTGCTAACTGTATTTAGTGCACATAATGGTTAATTCACCATGTTGGGGGGACAGGAATCCCAAGTGTATTGTATTCATACACGTTAGGCTTATATCGAGGTGACCCCGCCTAGGACGCAACCCCACAACAAGTTGAGTAACTTCTAGATACCTACTTGTTGCTAGGTGAATAGGAGCATTAGGTAATAGAAAATGTGCCCAACCATTTGTCCTACCTGGGATTTGAACCTGGAATTCTCGATTGTGTGTCAAGAATGAACCTGTCTGTATTACTGTGACCCCGGTAGTAATTGTAGGAATGCAAGATTCAACTTCCTTTATAAGTTGTACTTTTGATTTAACTTCGTCACATGTTTTCTCTTAGCTTTAGTGCTTATTTATGCCTTGAATTACAGATTTCTGCATTTCTTGAAGCCATAGTGATTGGAAGCAATAGCAAAGTGAATTTCCCATCATAAATATTTTTAAAAATGTTTCAACCACTATCAAGTGATAAGGGTTTCAAAGGAGCATTTGAATACTGTAATTTGCTGGAAAATTTTACATTGTAGTTTGACTATCAAACACCATCCCCCATCATCTAAATATACCTGGTTGATACCTGGTTGATGGGGTTCTGGGAGTTCTTCTACTCCCCAAGCCCGGCCCGAGGCCAGGCTCGACTTGTGAGAGTTTGGTCCACCAGGCTGTTGCTTGGAGCGGCCCGCAGGCCCACATACCCACCACAGCCCGGTTGGTCCGGCACTCCTTGGACTATAGTAGTATAGTAGAATATAGTAGACTATGTAATGCTGTAAAATTTTGTGAACATTAAATTTTCAATTAAAATTTCTTGTTTGCCATTTTTATAGCATAAATATTATATAAATATTTAAAAAAACAAATTTTTTTTTTTCCAATTTTCAGGAAAATCAAAGTGACACATTGAAGCATGATGTATTACACCAGTATTGGCATGCTACGAGGGGCAAGGTCCAGTTTTTGTGCATTGCGAGGAGCATGGTTAAAAATACCGAATTGTGGAATGTGTTCAAATAGTCCTGATATTGTGGTGGAAAAATTAACTGGCGACTGTCAAGGAGTTACGGTGTTCGGTCTTAACCGACCTGAGGCTAAAAATGCAATTAGTAAGAATCTATTGAAAGAGTTTGTCAATGCCATTGAAAGTGTTCAACATGATCGAAGTGTGAGAGTAGTGCTTTTGAGATCACTGGTTTCTGGAGTGTTTTGTGCTGGAGCAGATCTAAAAGAAAGAGCAAAGATGAGGCCAGAAGAAGTTGGTCCATTTGTTTCTAAAGCTCGAGCTTGCATTTCTCTACTTGAAAACCTTCCAATGCCAGTAATTGTAGCTCTTGATGGTGTAGCTTTAGGGGGAGGTTTAGAGATATCCCTTGCTTGTGATCTTCGTGTAGCTGCTAATTCTGCTAAAATGGGACTTGTGGAAACCAAACTAGCCATTATTCCTGGGGCAGGTGGCACACAAAGACTTCCTCGCATTATTGGAGCTGCAAAAGCCAAAGAATTGATCTTTACAGCTGCAGTCTTGAATGGAACACAGGCAGCAGAAATTGGTCTGGTTAACCATGTTGTCCCACAGAATGAAAGTGCAGATGCTGCATACCATAAAGCTTTGGAAATTGCCAAGATGATCATCCCAAATGGCCCTATTGGTGTAAAGATGGCTAAGACTGCCATCTCTCGAGGTCTGGAAGTAGACCTTGGTACCGGACTATCTATTGAAGAAGCCTGCTATGCTCAAGTAATTCCCACCAAAGATAGGATTGAGGGGTTGACAGCATTTAGAGAAAAGAGAAGACCTGATTATAAGGGAGAATGAAAGTTTACTTTTTACATTTGATTATGCCATAAAGGACAAATGAGAGCTTTACTCTGCCATTGACATCTATGACCTTATTCTGTAGGCCTTCATGCAACTGGTTCTGCTGCACAGTATATCATGCAGTGTGTGTACAAAAACATTTGACATCATTATTGGTTCAAAAATTTAACTGATAAGCAGACATGTTTGGTCAGTACTGTATTCATGTATTATGTGATATTAATGTATTGTAAAATACAGTAATAGGTATTACATTCTATTTTATGGTGTATAGTTTCCAGTCATTTTCATAAGTTCTTAGTAGTAAATCTACATGAAATGTGGTGGTATTTTATGAAGGGTTGATCATTTTCAGCTGTAGATTTTGTAATTACAGTACAGTTGGTGTACAGAGGCAGAGTAAAAGGTAATAGGTGTTTAGTATCATGATAGCTCTGCAGTAGTGGGTATATTTAATTGACTTAAATAAGCCAAATTTATACCTTTTTTATAGTTGAATGATTGCACATAGATGTGGGAGATTTGTTTTATATTTTCATTGTATATAATGCTGCCATTTTAATTTGCTGCTGAATTTTACTTGGAAGTAAACAAAATTAATTGTAATGTTGTTTTTATTTATACCTATAGTAATGTTAACAAATCGAAACAAAAATGTACAGTGCTTTACAAATTTTTGGTTCATAAGTACATGGACTATAGATACAAAACTATTAAAAGATATAGGGCATACAATATACTGTACTCAACATGTCTGGCAAAAGTAGAGCTCTTATTACATTAATATAATTTAAACAACATTGCAATATTAGCCAGGTTTAATCCTTAATAAATGAAGGATGCTTTGGCTCCAATTCATACTCAATCATCTCTGCTCACTCTTCAGTTGGTAATTAAGGACCTGGATGTAAGTAGATTAGCAGGTCATGTTACAGGAAAAGCTAATAGAGTAAGGCTTAAGATGAGCTTTATGAAGACAGTTCACTAAATCTGCAACGGTCCAAAGTCATCTGCTCCTGTCCCCATCTGACTGAAAAAAAAAAGTCCTGGTATCAAAATCAAGTTATATAAGTTATGTCACTAATTTACAAGGAAAGAACACTAATGTTGAAAAAGGTAGAATAAATTTATTGTACTGTACTGTCAATACTCATTTACATACCGTCTATGTATGTCAATACGTACATTTACATTTGCATTGCACATGCCGAGATATCTTAGTTGACGGGTGGTGCGTCAACTAAGAAAACTTTTTTGTAGGTATGGGGAACGATTAAAAACTCGCTCGGGTATATAGGGCTCATGTCCTATTCCTCAGGACTCTAGTACAGTACAGTAAACAGATGCCATCTTGGAAAAAAATTACCTGCATCCCAGCTGGCTGTGAGAGCCTCAGTACTGCCTAAGCTACCAAGGCTTGTGCATACAGCAGGAGCTCACAGCACAGTTGTGCAGGTCAGTGCTGCAGTGCATTATCACAACACTACTTAATAATGAAAATAAGTGCAGTAACTGCAATTATTTTGCGGCGATCTTGATGGTAAAAAAAAACTATGTACACGGTTCAGATATCAGTGACTGCATATGCAGTTATGATGTTCACATCAATCACAAAACTAGTGAACTCTCTGAACACTGGTGTGCACTTGCAATTACTGCATTCCGATATTTGCAGTATCAAAACGGCAATAACAACACTTAACTCTAACACTGCCCTTAACACTTGTCACTAAGACAATCAACACTTGATTAATTATGTCTGCAAGGAGGGTGGGCTGCAGGTGTCCTAAGAGAAGCAAGAGCTGGCCAAGGCAACACTTGTGTCAGGCTACACTGGCAAAAGAGGGGTCCAGGCTTCACCGGCAGGAAGGGTGCCTGCAGTGGTGGTCCAGGCTACATTGGCAGGCAAGGGGCCCTGGTTAACCCTTAAGCTGCTACAGCCTTAAGGGGCTGGGAGCTCAAAAATATTTGTCCAAATATGAAATATAATGAAAACTATTAAAAAAATCTCACATTATTTGGCGTGGTGAAAATGTCATCCCAATATGTTAAGACATGGATTTTACACGAATTAAAAAAAAAAATGTAAGCAACCAGTACTTATAACAATAACACCACGTAGTTAAGTGGAACTCATGGATAATGCAGTGATTAAGAGATGCAAGCACCTGTATGATGCACAAGAAGAGGAGTAGAAGTAAGGAGGGTCTACAAAGTGGATATGCAGTTGATGCCTTCTAGGATTGCTGATTGCCACCTGGCAATCAGCAATCAGGGCAACGCGACCTAAAAAAATTGACGCAGGCAGCATCAACAAAAGGAAATAGACTACCTGTGGGTGGCATGGGCTATGTCCAAAGATGTTCTGGGTGCACCCTCAAAGGTGGATAGGCCAGGCAAGGGTGGACTGGCTAAGGTCAGAAATCTCTGACAAGGGAATGGGGTCCATCTTCGAAGTGTTGCTGAGGTGTGTGCGGTGAATTCCTGTCAGCAGGGCTGGTGATGGTGTCTGTGTTTGGAGCATGTGGCGAGTTGGAGAGAGTGGGGTTGTGGAGTCATGTTGGGAGCGTACGGTGGCTGCAAGTGTAGAGAGGGTCGTGATCCGGGGTGACGGCTTAAGCACCAGAGGCACTTGCATGTGAAGCTCCAACACAAGCCAATAGTCACTCGTTACCTTCATACAGAAAATTTCCCATTTTTGCAAAAAAGTATTATTACTATTTTTAATGTTGCTTCATAGTGAGGTTTTAACAAACTGAATGTTCTTTACTTATACCACATTACTTCTGTAATCATATTCAGTACTGTATTGAGAATTTTATTACAGGATGTGAGGTAACTGCATTTGTGCGAAACCCAGCAAAGTTACCAGAGGAGTTGGCATCACAAGTGACAGTTAAAGTGGGTGATGTTTTAGAGGCTTCATCAGTAGACAAGGCAGTTCAAGGACAAGATGCAGTTGTGATTGTTCTTGGAACAGGAGATAACCTAAGTAAGTTGGTCCATAATTTAATATTTCATATGAAAGTTAATGGTATAGGTATGTTTTATTGGTTTTAATACCTTTCCTGCCTCCTTTTACATTCAACAAGTGCTAAATCCTTCAGACCATATCCATATCAAGATATACAAGTATAATGCAACAGTATTCATTTTATCACTTCATAAATGATATAAACAAAATTCCAAACTGCAGTTTTCTGTGGGAAGCCCCGTCGGCTCCCTGAAGCTATCCGAACTGATATGTGCTATATTAGTTTGGCGTCATCAGTCACAGGAGTTGTTATGCCTACCAGAGACCATAAGCCAGAACCTGGTCCCCTCACAGGCACAGGGAGCAATGACCGATGAACACTTAACAAGACTTACGTAAAAAGTACAGTATGTCATAATTGCTATCGATCGGGAAAAGATTCAGAAAGGAAGGCGAATAAAACAGATCACTGTTTGGTTAACCTGTGCAATCTACATCCTAAAATATCAAAATAACTCTCCTAGAAAGAAACTCAACAAGAGACTTCATGAAACTAGCATTCTTGCTCATTAGCACTACCCATTGAGGTGGGGGGGGGAAAGCCCACCACTCCAGTTCTTGAACTGATGTGCTGGTGGTCAGATCAGTCACCTCTGGCCTCAATTTCCTGTTCTGGGTTTTTGCCCAGTGTGGCTGTTCCAGCTGTGTGTGTAGCGTAGTGGCCGGGTGTCTTTAGTGTACAGGAGCAGCATGTGCCTAGGGTGACCTTCTCTAGGTGCTCCATGAGTACTGCCCTTGTGTGTCTGGGTTATCTTCCCTGGGGCGTTCGGGAATCACTCCCTGTTTGAGGCCTTCATCGCTTGATGTAGTCTTTGCCCTTGGGGTACGTCAGGGGTCTAGGGCTTTCCGTCTTGCCCCGGGTAGGGGAATGTTATTGGATGGGTGTGGACGCACTGTGGCTGGCACAGCTCACTTTACTAAAACGCACCAGCTGACTGCCAGTGCCTGGGATTCGAAGGAGTCCGCTTTGAGCCCTTGGGCGCCTTAATGAACAGCCACATGCAAATGACCTGCTATGGATGTGCGACAGATTTGCCTTAAACCAGCAAATGGTAGAAGCAACTAGAAAAGAGAACACACTGGACCTCATTTTCACTAATAATGATGATCAGGAACATAATGATTACAAATGTCTATTAATGTATGCAGATCACAACCTAATTGAAGTTCTGGCAAGTATGGGGAGTAGTAGACCTGTACAACCAGTCCCAAATCCCAGAGGAGGAAAATTCAGCAAATTCAATTTTAATAATAAACAGATTAAATGGGAGAAAATAAACCAAGACCTCGCAAAAATAAGCTGGGAGGAACAGCTAGAAAATGCAAACCTGAACCAGTACCTGGAAAAAAAAAAACTCAGTAGTTCTAGAAATATGCTCAAACCACATACCCCTACAAAAAAAAGAGGAGATGCAGATTGGAACGGGAACTGTGTTCCCTCTATTGGCGAAGAAAATGATTTGTGGAACAACTTGAGTCACACCCTATCTCAACAACGACAAAGAAGGCTAGGTAGAGAAATAGAAACGATTGAACTAAAACCACAAGTGTACTGTACAACAAAATCCAAGAGAGACAAAGAGAGCAAAAACCATCAGTGAAATAAAGAGAAATCTAAAAAAAAAAAAAAAAATATGCAAAATCGAGACAAAAAACTACATCTAGTATCGGGCCCCTGCGAAAGAGAGAGAGAGCTTTCACAGATGACAACAAAGAAATGAGCGAAATACAGTACTGATAAATCAGTACGACTGTTTTCAGCGAGCCACTAAACACATGGAAGAATGATAACCCAAATGAATTTTCATGGATGTGATACCAACATCAAGTCATATATCAGATGTCACCCTATCCACACTGGATATTGAAGAAGCCATAGACAGTATGCCTATGCACTCTGCACCCGGCCCTGATTCTTGGAACTCTATACAGTATTCATAAAGAACTGTGAAAAACGGCTGTCACAGGCCCTTCACATTCTTTGGAGACAAAGCCTAGATACTGGCATTATCCCTGACATACTAAAAAAGCAGAAATAGCACCACTCCATGAAGGAGGAAATAAGGCAGAGGCAAAAAATTAGACCAATAGCACTAACATCACACATCATAAAAATCTTTGAAAGAGTGCTAAGAAGTAAGATCACAAAATACAGTACATGGAATCACAACATGTCTATAACCTTGGACAACATGATTTCAGAAGAGGGCACTCTTGCCTATCACAGTTGCTGGACCACTATGACATAGTATTAGATGCCATGGAAGACAAGCAAAACACGGATGTAATTTACACAGATTTTGCAAAAGCCTTCGACAAATGTGGCCATGGTGTTATTGCACACAAAATGAGTTTTAAGAGGAATTACAGGAAAAATAGGCAGATGGATCTACAATTTCCTGACTGACAGAACCCAATGTGTAATACTGTATTCAACAAAATATAATCCGGACCATCAACCGTGAAGAGCTCAGTCCCCTAGGGACCTGTACTTGCTCCAGTACTCTTTCTCATCCTCATATTGGACACAGACAAGGACATAAACTATAGTACCGTATGGACATAGACAAGAACAAAAACTACAGTACTGTACTGTATCATCTTTTACATATGACACTAGGATTTTTATGAGAGTAGACAACATAGAGGAAAGACACAGCAAACCTCCTCCAATCAGAGGCTGTGTGGTAGGTGCTGCAACAGATCCAGCTTCCTCAGGGCTCAGTGTGTCACGTGTGTGTCCGGTGGAGGCTTTGTGCTGCTAACTGCGGTCCACTGGTTCTGGGATGGTAGACGCTCTCTGGGTGAATCCGGTTTCCTTGGTTCCCTGTTCCAGGGCTCCTGTGTCTCAGGTTGTCTGCAATGTCATTAAGTCTAGCCAGCCTGTGGTCTACCCTTGTGCCCATGATGTTAGGAAGTACAGTATGCTGCTTGCGGAGGTTTTTGGCAACATGTCTTGGGTCAACATTCAGGTGCAGGGGTTTTGGAGGTCAAAAAGTGTCCTGGCCACCAGGTATCTTATAAATGTTATGGTCTCCTCCCGGCCGTGTGTGGCTTTGGGGTGCCTGTCACGGCCGGATGTCTCTTCTTCATCTTGAGACCTGCGGTGCTGCCGCCTCCCGGGTAAGTCCCTCCTTTTACTTATCTTTGGGTAGTTAGCTTCAGGGAGCTGATGGGGCTCCCCCACAGAAAACCTGCATTGAATGTAATGAAATGCCATTTTCTGGGCAAGCCTCAGAGGCTCCCTGACACCCTTCTTCCTTCCGGTCAGCAGTTTTCATGATTCAAGAATTGGAGTGGTTGGCTTCTGGCTCCCCCTCCCCCCTTTATGGGGGTGTGGGGGGTAGTTGCATTAAGTGTTGCTTCTTTATAGGGAAGTTATTTTGATTTTTAGGATGTAGATTGCACAGGTTACCCAGGCAGTGGTCTGTTTTGATTCGTATATTCAGGCTCCCTCTCCGGTCAATGACAATTATGACATACTAATAGGCTCATGTGCCATTGCTCCCTGAGCCTCTCTGAGGGGGACCAGGTTCTGGCTCGTGATCCCTGGTACGCATAAGGACTCCTTTGACTGATGACCCCAAACTAATATAGCACATATCAGTTCGGATAGCTTTAGGGAGCCTCCTTGGCTTGCCCAGAAAATGTGGTTTCATTACATTTAAACCTGTTTTTTTTTTTTTGTAAAGCATAAGGCCTCTCCAATTCAGATACTGACAGAATACTGATACAGAAGTATAAAGAATACAACAGAAGAAAATTTTGCCACACTAAGCCAAAGTGTGTTAATATACACAATTTAATTTGCTACATCACTTTAAAATGGTACAGAAATATATGCATTCTTTCAATTCTTTCTGATCTCTTCTTGGGAATATTGCATCCTCAATTATATTTATCAGTTTTGTCTCCATGACTGACGATATGACTATGTAGTTCCAATACCTGTTTTTGCGGCTCTACCCCTTATTTGTAATGTCATCTACATATGTGTACCAAATTTTTATACTACTTATTTCTACTGGGCTACTTAGTTTCCTCCCAGGGAGTAGATTCTTCCTTTGGGGTGGGGTCCGCCTTGTTTACCATTCTGGAGAGTGGCATTTGTAAGTGTTGCTCTAGTAACAAACACTTTTTCTCACCGTGTTATTAGGTCCACTTTCTTACATGCCTGATTATTCCCCTCCCACCTCTCACGTTTTGTTCCCCCAACTCCATTTTCTTCCCCTCTTTCCATTTCCCTTTGCTTTTCTTTATTGATTTTCTTCTCAACAGTGCCTTGCTCAGAGATTTGGAGTCTAACTTTAAAAACTGAACCAAAGCTGTACATCCAGATACCATCCAGCTGTCTACCAGTTTACCTCTATTCGGCAGTTAAGTTCCGATTTCTTCTCGGTCTAGTGTGCCCTCCTATTCTGAGACAATCGCTCAATTGCTCCCATCTCCTACAATTTTTGTCCAGAGTTTCATGAGTACACTTGGGTAACCTGATCTGCAATGGAGGCAGCCATTTCTCATGACCTGCTTGATAAGAGTTCTGGGAGTTCTTCTACTCCTCAAGCCCGTCCCAAGGCCAGGCTTGACCCTGTTGACCTGTAGCATGCTGCCATCTAGTGATGGTCAGTAGATGTAGTTAG